TTTTTTGTCTTTGTCTTTTTGAGACAGGGTCTCGCTATGCAGTTCAGGCTGGCCTTGAGCTCACTTTGTAGCCCAGGCTGGCCTCAAACTGGCAACAATCCTCCTGCCTCAGCCTCCCGAAGTGCTGGGATTACAGGCGTGCACCACCACGCCCGGCTCCCAACTGTGTTTTTAATAGCATTTATATTCTTGGAAGGAAAAAGTCTTGTCCTAAATAGTCTTAAATAGGTTGTCCGAGCCCTTCATGACTTTCTGGAAACTGGCCTAAGCTCTGTTTCAGAGATGGACCACATTGTTCTAGAACTTACTACCTGGAGTTATGTTTGGAAAAAAATGTGCTTTGTTTTTGGCAAGGTCCTGCTGTATCTACTTGAGGGAGTTCTTTCAGGTATATTTATGTAGTTAGGTTTTTGTGCTTAGCATCTTTAAGTGTGAGTACAATGTTGGGATAGGACCTTGAAACCTCACAGAAAGTCCTTAAAAACTTGCTTTTGGTGAGGTAATCTCTTGAAATAACGTTTTTTTTTGAAAACTTGTTTGTTCTTACCTCTGGGGATCTGGAAACAATGTTATCAGATTGTAAGGCTCCTGCAGCTCTGTGAGAAGTGTGCTGCAAAGCCTGTTAGCATCTAGTTTGGGGTTTTGTTAGTTGCTTAAGGGGAGATGCCCAGCGTGTTGAACTGTTTTGAGAATCAGTTTGTTTCTATTACTGTAGAAAAGGGAGGTATTTCTGGTGGGCTCTCAGAGGAAACAGATGTTTTCAGGCTACATTTTAACTCACCTTTTGAATTTGGTGTCAGGAAAAAATAAACTTTGCTGTTCACAAACCTTCTATGTTACTGCAGACAGAGGCAGCAGAGAAAATTAAGTGACTTCTGGTTCTGATCCGAGGTGGTAGGTTTGCCTACTGGCTGCTGTCTTCTCTGGAGTTGCATGGAAACATAGGGCAGCTCAGGTGACAGGAGTCTGGAATCCAACTTCCCTCCCTCTTTCAAGATGTGAAATGGTCTTCCTTGTAAATAGGCAGAAGTGACTAAGCACTTGAAAGAGGGTAGGAAAACATTAGGTTTGGGAAATCTTGTATTGTTTCTGTCCTTAGTGCAGGTTTATTTCCTATTTTTCAAATCTTGTGACTATAGAATGAGATTTAGATTACAATATTTATTTTAAGTTAATGTAGTAAATGGGCAACCACAGCTACTGATCATGAAAGGGAGAGAATTTGTTTGAGTGCTTTGCATTGGGTGTCAGCTCCTCCTGTGGGAGAATTAATGTTTCTCTTTGAGCTCCTGTTGACCACTTTAGTTTTAAGCATACTGGAATTTCTTTCTTTCTTTTCTTTCTTTTTTTTTTTTTTTTCTATTTTGTCTTTTTGAGACAGGGTCTTGCTATGCAGTTCAGGCTGGCCGTGAGCTCACTTTGTAGCTCAGGCTGGTCTTGAACTCAAAATGATCCTCCTGCATCAGCCTCCCTGAGTGCTGGAATTCCAGGCTTGCACCACCATGCCCGGCTTGAAATGTCATTTTTAGAAGTTCTCTTTGGTTACTTACTTTGCAAATTCTTGAAAAAGTTTTGGTTATTGGGTGATGCATGTGGTAGAATAGTCTGTAACAAGAATGTAGCAGACTTACTTTATTCATTTAGAATCATAATAATTTAAAATCAATTTCAGTTGATCTTTTTGAGAATTCAAAGATACTGTAGAAATCTTCACATTTTATTTTAATTTAACTTAAACTCTATCTTAGCAGTATTTGCTGTAATTTTATTACTTTTTAATTTACATGCCATCCTTTATAATTCCTCCATTAAAAAATATATATTTTTAAATTGGGTGCACACCTGTAATTCCAGCACTGTGGAGGGCTGATGCAGGAAGAGTGCAACTTTGAGCTGAACCTGGGCAGTTTAGCAACTTTGTGTCTCAAAAGAAAAAAAAAGGGCTGGGGATGTAGCTCAGTGGAAAGGCCTGGGTTCAATTGCTAGTACCACATAAAATTTTATATGTGTACACACACACATATATGTATATATACACATTTATATATGATTTTGAATATTTTCATCATAAAGAAGTGGTAAATGATGAGATAGGTAAATTTAAGTATTTCACAATGTATCAAATATATCAGAATAGAACATCACATGGTACCCGATTAGTACATATAACTTCTATGCTCTTACGTATGAGAGAAAATTTGTATATTGAGTAGAAGTATATTTTCTTCCATTTCCCAGAGGTAACCTCTGTTTTCTGTCCTTTTTTCTGCAGTTATGTAGATAATACCTTTTACCCCTGAAATAGACATGATTTGTATACATAGGTCTGCAACTTGTCTGTCACTTAACAAATGTTAGGGGCTGGGGATTTAGCTCAGCGGCAAAGCGCCTGCCTGGCAAGCGCAAGGTCGTGAGTTCGGTTCCCGGTACGGAGAAAAACCAAAAAACCAAAAAAAAAAAAAAAAAAAAAAAAACAAATGTTATCTGTCATTACATACTTGTAAATGATTATATGCCCATGTAATGTGTTGTAAGCATTGCAAACAACATCTTAGGACATTTTAACATCAGTGATATTACTGCTGTTGATTGATGAGGAAACTGAAGCACAGAAAAGTTAAAGAAACGTGCCTGGAGTTACACAAGTAGTGAAGTAGGGGAGCCAAGATTCAAATACAGGTCATCTGATGTCAGGGCTGTGTGGTCTATTTACTAGGTCCTATGGACCACTGTCCATGTCAGTATTACAAATCTGCTACATTCTTGTTACAGACTATTTTACTACATGCAGGTATCACACATGATTTATTTGCCTGTTTCTCTCTTGGTGTACAAGTAGACTGCTTTCAATTTTTTCATTTTATAAGCAGTACTATAGGGGATGTCCTTGTACATATTTTTCCAGTGCTTTTGCTTTTACTTCTGTAATACTTATGAATTAAAGAATATGAGTGCTGAATGATTTAAATTTTACAGCTATTGCTAGCTTACCTTCAAAATTTGTACCAATTTGAGCCATGGATAAAGCTCAGCAGCACAAGCGCCTGCCTGGTAAGTGCAGTGTCCTGAGTTTGATTCCCAGTACCAAAAAAAAAAAAAAAAAAAAGAAAGAAAAAAAAGATACCAATTTACATACTTGGCAACAATATAAAAGGGCAGATATCCTGTATAATCATACAAGTTCTACATGATGTCAGTTGTTTTACACTTGTGTCTTCTGATAGATTTAAAAAAAAAAGTGATATTCCTCATTTAACAAACACTTGGGTGCCTAGACTATGCCAGGTAGGCTGTAGGAAATACAAAAATCCAGCCCCAGTTCCTAGGTAATGTGTCATTTAGTCATTAATTAGACGACCCCACCGACAGGTATACAGATACTTATTTACTTTGCTAGCACAAGTGTGTACCACTTGCAAGGTGCGATTCTAGTTAGTCAGAATATGTCAGTTTGCAAAAAGATAACAAATCTGCCTTAATGTGGGAGAAAAAAGATCCTTAACAAGAAACAAGCAAATGAGGTGGCTTGTTAGTCTATAAGTGACACAGGGAAAAGTAGAACAAGATAAAGGAAAGGGGTAGGGCTGATTTTAAATAAGGTGGTCAGGGTAGCCTTCTTAAGAAAATGACATTTGTGGAAATCTTTGAGATAAGGGATATAAGGATATCTGGAGGAAGAGTGTTACAGACAGAGGGATCAATTTTTGGAAATACCTTAAAGGAGCATGTTCAGGAGAATGGCCGGTAGGGTTTGCTGATGCACTGGATGTGGGATGCAAGAGAGAGGAGTCAAATAATTCCAAAGGTTTTTAACCCAAGTCACTATGAGAGGTATACAATACTGCCATGCCTGTAATTGAGGCATTTGACCCATTTATGGGAGTTATTGTAGCAAAATGAAATGCTCATCTCTTAATGAATACAAACACCATGGAGAAAGGGCATTTTGACTGATAGTGGTACCTCCAGCATAATGCTATCATAGAATAAATGTGAACAATAGGTATTTGTTGAAAGAAAGTCAAGTGAAAAGATACAGTTACAATAATGTTAA